CTCCCTGGCTCCCTGCAGCTCCTGCAGGCTCACGCCTCGCCCTTCTCTCCTTGGTGTCCTGCCCTTCAGGGGTTAGCCCAGTGGCCTCCTTGTTAGGACCTCAGGACCAACACACCCAGCACCCCCATCGTGATTTTGTGAGTGCCTTTGTGGGCCGCTCATGAGTGGGAGGGCCAAGGCTGGGTCCCGAGTGAGCAGCATTGAGGAACTATTATAATTTAAACTTTAATTGGATGAGTGGGGCAGACAGCTCTGCAGGAGCACAAAGGAATTTATAGGGGTGGAGCAGGAGAAGGGGCTGGAAGCCCAGGAAGGAAACACACTTGTGAGAAACCACAGCCCTATCTGTTCTATCAAAGTTGTAAACAGGAGCACCTCCACCTTAAACTCCAGTTCACCCTAAGCTTCCCCATACCCCTCCCATGGTTACTGGAAATGTCTGCTCAGCTTAGATCCCAGCAACACAAATGACCACAAAGAATAATTCATCAACAGCCAAGGACTTTTAGTTCCCCAAAACCCATACTCCCCAACCTTAGTAACCCTGCCCAGCAACCCTTCAGGCCTTCTCCTAGCACTGTTTAAACTACCAATCAGGACAGATTGTGAACTTTCAAACCAGCCAGTGGGGAGAAGGCCAGCTGCTTCTCACGAGTTAGAAAATAAAAGGAGCCTGTTTCTGTGCCTTGCATGTGCTTGCGACCTCATGCTAAAATACGCTAGTGCCCTTCTGCCGAAGTAAAACAGGCTTGCCTTGCTGAGATATCTTGCTGTCTGAGTGCTTTATTATCAGCATTGACAAACTGAGTCTGGACTAGACAAAGGCATAGGGCTGGGAACAGAAGCAGTATCTAGGAAGAAAACCCCAGCCTGGCTAGCCCCGTGGGTCCACAGCAGGAGGGAAATGAGGCAACCTGGAAAGGAGCGGGGGCAGGGTTTCAGGGGGCTGCAGGAGGCTGAGCTGGAGCTGGGGAGTCACACTGGGTTCTGGGTTGGGGTTCTGCTAAAAGCCAGGTTTGGAATCCCTTATCCATTCTGGCTACAGGAGGCGATTTCAAACCCATGAAAGAGATGCATGGTCGTCAGCTGTCCTCTACTCCTGCTCACCTGCAGGTGTTGAACAGGACTTGCTGGGCCTGGGTTCTCAGGAAGCAGGCCAGGCAGTTGAACCAAGCTGCAGTGGACACAGGAGGAAAGTGAGGCCCATTGCACAGATTCCCTGGCTGTCCTGGAGCTGGGGGAGACCCTGGAGCTGGAGACCCCTCTACACCCCGTGGCTCAGGCCGTGGGTGAGCACCAGGCTGGAGCGAGTACAGGCCCCACAGATAAGCACTGCTTGCTGAGCAGTGACACTTCATAGATAGCAGCCGTGACTCTGGAGCACAGAAAACACTGGGAGCTTGACAAGAACAGGGTCCTTTTTAGGTTCATCTCCAGATGCCTTGCATGGAGCAGGGGAAAAGCAGGGGTTCACAACAGCCAGAAACGGAAGGACACATGGGTGGCTGGAGGACAGAGAAGAGGATGGCTGCCTGGCTTGGAAGATGGATGAGCAGGAAAATGGGTGAGAGCACGGGAGGAGGAGAGGAAAGACGATGGGCAGAGAGATGGGCGAGGGGATGGACAGACTACCAACAAATACTAGTGTGGGTGAATTGATGGAGGGATGGACGGAACCAGGGCAGAGGAGGGCTGGCAGGTGACTCCTCCTTTAAACAGCAAGGTTCCTTTCTACTTCCCCTTTCAGTCATCAGAGAGACTCTGCCTGGACGCACCCCCGTCCCCCAACCATAGGGAGGCTTGAGTTCAGCCTGCTGCTGCCTACAAACCCTGCAACAGGGCCAGCCTCACTTGGCTGGGGTCCACCTGGCCTGAGACTGGACCCCTTCCTTGGCCACATCGATGACCAAGCTGGGGCTTCAGTGCATACATACACACATATCCCAGCATGGAGTGCGTCAGGCTGACAGCTGGGGTGCTGATGTGGGCAGGCAACAGGATGCCATTATCTGCAGAGAGCACAGGACTGTCAGGTTGCTGCCAGCCTCCAGGACATGGACTTGGTGCAAGTATCCCCTCAAACCCCCACCCCCGCCTCTTGATGCCCCACCCCCACCCTGTTGCCTGTTAAATCTTTCTGAGCTGCCCATCAGCCCTCAGAGTCCCCTCTTGGCTCACTCCTGTGTGCTGTGGGCTCCTCGGCCACCCTGCAGGGGTTCTGGCTTCGCGGGTTGCCCCTGGGGATGATAAAAGTCACAATCACATTCACATTTTAAAATCTGGAGGGTATGTGATGTTGCCACATTCCAGATGGAGAAACTGAGCCACAGAGTGATGTACAAAGTGCAGGGCTATACTTCAAGGACAGTCTCTCTGGCTGGTCCCAAATCCAGGGTTCTTTTAAGGAAGACCCCAGTTGCTATGGCCACCATGGTGATTGTCACCCAAAAGCTACTCTCTGCTCTTCTTGGCAGAAACTTTATTTTGTGTTATCCCTCCTCTACTACCCCAGGGGAGGTAAGGCATCAAATTGGTTGAAGCCTGTTGTGGGCCACCCATCACCTCTGAAGTGTGGGTTTCAAGGATGGGGCATCTGAAGGGGAGGTAGGGTGGGGCATTGTGTCTCTGATCATATAGGACTTGGGGAAGTGGTTTTGTCATTGCTGAAATGAGACCCTTAGGAAGCAGCATCCACTCTCCCTCTACCTTAGACAGTCATGTTTCTATGTGATGGCCAGAGCTGTGGCAGCCATCTGGTGACTGAAGAGAGAGGAGGCTATAAGGAAGACCAAATGACGACCTAAATGACTTGGGTCTTGGGAAGCATCAAAGAATGGGGCATTCACATACACTGGAGCCATCCACTCCTTAGAACTTCCTGGTAGGTGAGACGAAAGTACTGTATTTTCTCCTAAATACAAAAGTATTGTATTTATTCCCATTGTAGGCAATGGGCTACAAACCTTACAGATTATACCCCCTCCGTGTTTGGTTTGTTAAGAAACTATCCAGTATGCCTGTTACAGTTTGGAATTTGAATGCTCCTTCCCCAGGGCCCATGTGTTAAAAGTTTGCTTCCCAGGGTGGCAATATGGGACAGTACTGTGGACCTGGGGTGGGGGTGTGGCTGTAGGAGGCCCTTGGGTGACTGGAGGGTTCTCCTTGAAGGGCACTGTGGAAATCCAGGCTCTTCCCTTTTCTGTGCTTCCTGGCTCATGAGGAAATTTTGTTTCCACTCACTTTTACCGTGCTAAGAGGCCACACAAAACAATATGGTCAGCTAACCATGGGTTGGAGCCTCCATAACCAGGAGTCCAAAAAACCTTTTTTGTTATAGTGACATAAAGTTGGCTAACATAAAACCCAATTATGTTAAGGTATTATTTATCCTCTACAAATGTACATGTTTAAAATATTCCTAAAGAATGTATATCACAGTAAAGTGAATAGTTTACAGCAACTTAATATGTATCTCAAAATGACTGAAAGAGAGGATGCTGAAGTTTCCTAACACAAAGAAATGCTCTTTACCTGATTTGATCATTACCTGTAGTACTGAATTATCACACTGTCCCTCATAAATGTGTACAGTTCCTAAATGTCAATTAAAAACAGAGGGATTTACTAAAAATACACATTCAAGTTATAATAGCTTCTTCTCTCAATGTGTGGCTGGGTTTTTTTTTTTTTTCTAGTACTGGGGATAAAACCCAGAGTCTTTATACAAGCTAGGCCAGTGATCTACTGCTCCAGCCCATTTTTATTTTTATTTGGACACAAGTCCTCATTAACTTGTGCAGGCTGGCCTCAAACTTCTGATTCTCCTGCCTCAGCCTCCTGAGTAGCTGGGATTACCATGGTTAAATCTTATACCTTCCTGGGGGATAAATCCTGTTCTGGGACCCAGAAATGGGCATCATTTTGGGTTGGAATTTCTGTCACCTGAAATCAGATGCCCCTTGACAGACACAAGAGCAGAGATGTGTGTTTTCTTGTTCAGCACCTGCCTCCCTAGCATGAGCTCCCTAAAGGCAAGGAACATACGGGACTGGTACATCACTTGGCCTCTGCCCCATGACTGGCACACAGCATGTGTGCAAGAAACACATGCCAGAGGGCTGGCCACTGTGCCACCTCTTGTCTGGAGACTTTGTTCTGGGCCTCAGCTGCTGTACCTACAGCATGACTGCTGCCTCTGGTTTACCTCCCAGGAGAGGACTAGGCCTTTCATAAACTGTGTGGGGCTGGGCAAAGTGGTGGGGGGCTGCTTTTCTCACCTTCGTGGCCTGGTATTATAGGCCATATCTTCAGACAGGACACATGGGCCCACAGGGTTCCTTGAGGACCGTGGCATTGATGCCTTTCTCTAGGATGGAGGAATGGTGGTGGGGGTCTCTGGGACTCAACGAGGAGAATGTGGCTGCTGCCACTACCTCTGAGTGTCCCCTGGAGGGTGACATGTGGGCTCAGGGGTCAAGTGGAACCGTGAGCACTGTGACCTCACAGAGTAGGTGGGCAGGGAGGCCACTGTGTCTCCAGCTTGGTCCCTGAACTTCCCCATCAGAGGACGCTACTGTGACAACTTCCGTGTCTTTAACATGGGGAATCTAAAGCCATGAAGTGGGAAGATCCATGCCCAGCTCTTGGGGATGAGGCAGGGTGACAGCTGAGGCTCCAGTACCTGGTCTGGCTTGCCCTTGCATCTCAGAAGATGTCCTGCCTCCCTGCCTCAGTTCACCTCCTCTTAGGCTGCACACGAATGTGTTTCACAGGGCCGAGCTTCTCACTGGCAGACATTTTGTGTCACACAGAATAATTTCCATGTGTTGTTTTAATATAGGTGTACTTTTTAAAAGTAAATTTAAAAATTTTTTTGAGGTCAGATTAGTACTTTTAAAGATAAATAAATGCCAAATTGTAAATCCCTACAAACAGGATCTCTGACTGGCTTTAAAAACAGCTTTTTTCACGTTCACATTAGCTTCTGATGTGTGAAGGAAAAAAATAAGGAACACTTCATGAATTTGCATGTCGTCCTTGCACAGGGCCCGCGCTAATTTCTCTCTATTGTTCCAGTTTTAGTGAATGTGCTGCCAAAGCGGGCACTCTGTTTTTATTTTAAAGAGAATAAAATTAAGCAAAATGCGACAATAAATCCAAATCAAGACAATGTGACACAGGACTTCGAGATAATAGGAAATCAACAATGGTTATCATCATGCTTCTTGTTGTCTTCAAAACATCTGGCCATATCTTCAGACATAGCAAAACTCAAACAGTACAGAATAGAGCCAGTAAAAATAAAACAAAGAACACAGCAAAGGCTTCCAAAACAAGATACTAGTAAATCTAAAATGGCTACCGTAATATATCTTGTTATTTTTGAAATAGCTGCCCATGCCATTGGATATAATAATCAAACAAGACAATACAAAATAAAACTCAACCCAACAAACCAATGAAAGTGATACAGGACTTCAAAACAAGATGATAGGGAATTAACAATGGCTACCACCTTCAGAAAGAGATCCCCCATAGATGCTACATTGCATATTATTATCCTCTGAATAGATGACCAGACTGCCAGCTTTAGACCTGCAAAGTCAGTGAAACACTAAACACTACAAGCATTAAATTGTATTTTACCTCAATAGCTCTCATGGCAGCTTGTGTTTCTCCGGATCAGCCAATTGCTTACAGTAGGGGGTGAGAGGGGTTGGCTCTTCTTGTCTCCTGGTCCCCCCCCCCCCCAGTGACCTGTGCATGGTGCCAACTTGCAGAGAGGGCTTGCTTCTTGTTGACTTCTTGTTCTCTTCCCCTGCAGTCCATGAATGGTGCTTATTCATGGGAAAAGGCTGGTGTCCAGGTGTACTTCTTCTTATTTAAAAATTTTTTAAAAAATTATTTTGAAGGTAGTGAAATACAACAGAACAAAGCCAATTAAGACAGTACGGTGAAATTGGTACAGAAAGTCACAGCAGGTTACCAGGATAACAGTAATAGGTGCCAGAGTATATCTTGTTTTCTTTACAATAGTTGTTCTTTCAATCAAGTATAGCAAAATCAAACCAAATACAAAACATTATATAACTTATCAAAGCAATACAATTAATCAGAACAAAGCAAAACAGTGATAAGAATATTTTCCTTCAAAGAGATGGTGGAAGGAAACCTTCCCTATTTGCTGTATTGTGTATGGTCAACCTCCCAAGAGATGCTCAGATCTCTGGCTCCCATTTGCTAACAGGGGCGGGGAGGAGGGAGGTGTGATGTTTGATTCTCAGCTGAGCCCCGGGAGGCTCACGGCTGCTAACTAGGGAGGCAGGCTGGTTGCTTGGTTTCCCAGTGCCCTAAGTTCCAGGATGGTGTGGATCTCAGGAGACGCTGGCTGCTTGGTTCTACCCCTGGGTCGGCCCCAGGTGTACTTCTTAATGGGGAAAATAAAAGCACAAGACTGCCAGTCTATGTTTTCTGGAAGCTAAAATGAACTTACTTCTGCCTCCTGGTGGCCTTTGCTCAAAATTGCAGTGTAAGTCTCTGTGGAAAGTGGATTAATGATGTTCCCCCCAAAAGGCTGGCACCTTAAAACCAGCACATTAAATTACATGCAAAAGGGAGCTAAAGGTAGCAGATGGAGTTAAGGTCCCTACTAAGCTGACCTTGAGGTGGGGAGACTATCCTTATCCAAATGTGCCAGGTGTCATCAGAAGGGTCCTTGTAAGCAGAAGAGGGAAACAGAGAAATAGCACCTTTCCGGCTTTGAAGATGGAGGGTTGAATCAGGAGTCAGAAGCTGGAGACAGCCGGGAAACAAGTTCAGCAAGGTATGTAACCCTGTTGATACCACTCGGATTTTAGCCCAGCAGGACCCACTTTGAACTTGTGATCTCTGGAACTAGAAGATGACGAATTTGTCTTTTGAGTCACTAAGTTAGTGGTCATTTATTGCAGCAGCAATAGGAGGTGGGTACAAGGCCCCTGAGAATTCAGTGAAGGGGAAACAAATTCTGCTGTCAGTTATGACAAATTGTTCATGCTTTCATATTTTCACTCAACAAACATGTATTATAGTACGCTTCAGTTACTGATTTTGGGGTTGAACAGAACCAGATCCCATCCTGAGGATGTAGGAGAGTGGGTGAAGAACTCTTTGTGCATACTAGGTACTCAGCAAGAGGTGCTCGACTTTGCTGGAGGCAGGCGGCTGAGTACAGGGGATGAGCTGATGGGAATCCTTCTTTTGTGTTAGCTGGATGCCGCCAAAATGTCTCTTGTATTGAAAGTGCTGGAAGAAGTGTGCATGTCAAAGCAAACACTGAGAGTGACCTGGGTCAATATTTGCAGGTTGTGTGTGTGTGTGTGTGTGTGTGTGTGTGTGTGTGTGAATGAGAAGGAGGTCAGATATTTATCATTTTGAGAGGTTGGGGAAGGAAGCTCATGAGTTCAAGCCTTATCAGCACAGCAAGACCTTGTCTCAAAATAAAAAGGGTTGGGGACAGAGCTTAGTGCAAAGGCTCTGGGTTCAATCTCAGGTAGTGTCTGTGTGCGTGTGAATGTGTGTGCACACACACACACACACACACACACACACACACACCTCCCAGGGGACAGCCTGCTGTACACACATTCTCCTACTATGTGCATTCACAGACACAGCACACCAAGCCCCCACACACATCTCTATACACAAAACACTTACACACCTATTTGCACTCATGGCAGCTCGTGTAAACTGGCTTATCACACTGTCCACCAAGATGTCAGTGTCTTGTGGTCTCCCAAGCCCACAAACACGTATCTTCTTCTGGTTCCAGTCTTTACACACAAATGCACACGAGTTCCTGTAACCATCCATACACAGTCTTCTGTCTCTCACACAGTCATATATAAACAGGTGCCTCACAGGCACACCTAACACTTCAGGTCACGCAAAGCCTGGGTGAACTCCAGCGTGTGTCACGTGGGAAGAGGTGATGGTCCAGGCCATGGCTGTGGGATGCACATTTGTGAAGTGGCTTGGTAATGAGCAGTGGGGACTGGGCCATCCATACTTGCTCATCTGTTCCCTTTTGTGTTAAGACTCAGTGTGTGACCATGATCAGGGCTCAGGCAGTGGTGGGAATGGGGCTCAGGTAACCCCTGCTCCTCCTAAAGAAGAGCTGGTGACACTAGATTTGAGGGGTTGCAGCCTCTATCCACTGCCTCTGGGCCTGGCTGAAGTGATGTGGGGATGCCCTGGGGAGAGGCTTCCTTCCACCCTCTTGGTCCCTGAGGCCCAGCTGCCCCTCTAGGGTCCCGCACCAGTTGGCAGCCAGGCCTGGTGATGTGGTAATCCCATGGAACCCAGGAAATGGCACACTTTGGCAAAGACTGTGTTTGCAGGGAAAACACTTGCCACCACACAGACCTGCCACTCCCCGCCCTGCGCTGGGAGCCGTATAAGCAGCCCTTGCCTGGCGCTGAGACAGAACAGGGTTGGTCTGGGGCTGAGCATTCACCTGTCTACTGACTGTGAGGTAGGCAGGGGCTAGCTTGGCGCCTCCCTGGGGAAGACCTCCACCAAGCCTGGGCTTGCAGGGACTTCAGGCAAGGGCTGGTTGCTGCCCGTGGCCAGCCTGTATGGGAAGGGCCCTTCACTCCTGCTGGAAATGAAGCCCTTCTCTGAGTTGGATGAAGGGCTGTGTGCTTGGCTGGGCTGCCTCGGGAGGTACTGGGGAGCCAGAGAAGTGGCCTAGTCCCAGGCCATTCCTCACTTGGGCAGGATGAGGTGAAGACAGGAACCATTCTGGGTGCTGGGGAGGCTGGATGTCAGGTTAGTTGTCACACTGGGCTGACGATTTACTTCGGGTGACATAGCCTTGGGCCTTGGTGGGACTGGGCCTCTTCCTGGGATGCCTCTCTATTTGGGAGTCTCACCATTGTTATCTGACATGGCTGGTACCTGGGCTGTCTGCTGTGTGGCCTTAGGCAAGACCATGCCTTCTCTGAACCTTGGGGGCCATTTCTGCACCAGATACCCTCATGGCTCCTGAAAAAGCAAGCTGAAGAGGACACTCTTCCTAAGTGCAGAAAAGCAAACAGGGCTGTTTGGGCACCAGGGACAGGGCTGAGATCTCTGCAGGGACTTGCATACTCCAGGCTAGAGTGGGCTTTAAACAGCATCAGACTCCCTGATGTTTGTCTCCACCACAGCCTGCAGATCCTTGGGACAGTGGCTTCGTGGTCATGGCTTGGGTACATCATGGACTGGGCCTGTTGCTGGTACTACTGCTGCCCACAGTCCCTGCCTCCTCACCGGGTGCTGTGATCCGAATCAACAGGGCAGCCCTGAACTATGGTAAGAGATGAGCTGCCAGCGTGTGCGTGTGTGTGCGTGTGTGTGTGTGTGTGTGTGTGTGTGTGCATGTGCGCGCACACGCGCATGTGCATGTATACCTGGATTTTCATCTTCCATAGTGTCCCTGGTTGTTTTGAGGTGGCTGCAAGAGCAGGAGTGTGTGCACACAGCTGTGGGCATGGCCTCCATCATGTGGGCACAGCTGGCTATGTTTGGTGCCATGTGGAGATGTGCCCATGGGATGCATGGGTGTTGGAGAAGGTGTATGCATGGACTGCATGTTGTGTGCACAGGTGTGGCTGCATGTTACATGTGTATGAAAGTCCCTGCTGGGTTCAGCATGAGGGAGCCAGCCTCATTCTGGGCCCACTGGGGCCAGGTTTCTGTCCTACGACTTTGCTGTTAGATTGGGGGATGGGTACTAAACTGCATTCGCAGCTCTTTTTTTTATTTTTGAGTTTGAGATAAGGTACCACTAAGTTGCTAATCTGTCCAGGTTGGACTCAAACTTGTGATACTCCTGCCTCAGCCTTCCAGAGGTTGAGATTGTAAGCATGTTCCACCATGGATGGAATGCTGAATCCTTCTGAGTCCTGCTCTGTCCCCTGGAGAAGGCACACGGGGGAAGGAAGGGACAAAGGTTGCCAAGGTCCAGGACTCTAGCACAGAAATTTTTCTTTACATCCAGTTGCCTCAGGGTGGGATCAGTTTGAGAAATCAGCAAGTGTTTTTCCCAAGATCTGATCAAATTTAGATCACGGTTTAAGGGACTCACGCCAGACAGTGGAAGGGACTCTCAATGGTTCAGGCCAAGAATCACTGAGTCAGTGGCTCCAGGAAGCAACAGGGTCCCCTCCCATTGTCATGACACACACAGCTGTCCAGGACCTGCATCCGGGCAGATGGGCAGACGATGAAAGCCGTCAGTGATCCATGCCACAGCATGATCCCACACACCGCACAGTGGTGCCTGCAGGCAGGGATCTGAGGCTCACTGCCCGCTGCCACCCCCAGGACAGGCTGCTCTCTGCCTGTCCTGTGCGGGCTCCTTTGTCTCCAGAGAGTCCTCCCTAGTGCATTTGCCTGTGTTTGTTCTTGGCGGAACCCTGTTGGGCAGCCTCACTGCAAGTGCTGTCTCCAAGCCTGTGCTGGTGACTGTCCCTGTGTCTTCCCCATCCCAGAGTTCAGGCCCTGAGCCAGGGGAGCACTGTGGCTGGAGCCCAAGGCCAGGGTGTGAGTCAGGTTGGGGAGGGACACTGGGAACATGGACAGCATGATCTTTTTGTTCTGTGTCTGGGGAAACTGAGGTCCAGAGAGGATCAGTGACTTCCCATCATTCCAGAGTGAGTCTGAGCTTTACTCTTAAATTTTACTCCCTTTCCATGCCATAGACTCTCATTTTAACTCAACTTGCCTTTTTTAAGCACCTGAGCCCACAGTACAGGTGAGGAACCTGCAGGAATCCGAAGCTGTAGAGCCAGGAACCAGGCCCCAAGCCAGCTCCCCCGGCCAGGTGTCCTCAACCCCCTGCAAGCTTGGCATAACAACAGAATGGAGAACTCTCAGTAGAGCCGTGCAGTGTGTACCACGATTATACAGAGACCCATAGTGACAGTGACAGCACTCAGCAAGCACAGTCTTTGCAATGGCTCTGAGTGACAGGTACCATTATAACCATTGCAAACTGATAAACACTGAGGCATAGAGCAGCCACACAGGTAGTGAGTCGAGCGGGGACTGGCACCCAGAAGATGAGGTACTCTAGAGCACTCAGCCTCCAAGTGAGGCTACCGGTCCCCTAGGCCATCAGGTTTGGGGAGGGCTTCTAAGCAGACAGGAGCTGTTTGGAGCCTGGAGTGAGGGCAAAGGATTTTGTTGTCTTTGAGGGATGCGATGAACGAGCAGGATCTTGAGAGGCAGAAGCGAGGGCTGGTGTGAGCCGTCCAGCGTGGCTCATGCAGAGCCCATCCCTCCCCCATATCTCAGTTCTCTCTTCGAAGGGTGCAGCACAGAGGGTGGGTGGTGTGTTCCTACTGCTCCTGAAGCCAGCCTGACCTCACCGTGCCCTGGCCCTGCAGTGTCTGATGTTGGGAAAGCCCCTCTCCAGCGGGCACTGATGGTCATGGTTCCACCTTGTCTGGACTGGAGTGGTGAGATGCTTCAGGCCATCAAGTGAGTACTCCCTTTACAGAGAAGGTGCTCCTGCCACCAGGCAGAACACCCTGCCAGCCAGGTAAGTACTTTAGTCCACCAGGAGGGGAGATCTTGCAAGAATGCCCCTTCTGGATAGATGTCTTAGCAGGACAGTGCTCCCAGCCCCTGGACACCAGGTCTAGGTCATCAAATGAGCACAATCTCCTGTAGTGAATCCTCCCTCACATTAAATGCTTCCACTCACCAGGTGAGTGGTTATGAGATTTAGGAAACAGGACCAGGTTCAGAGGGGCTTGGCACTTCTGAATTAGTGGATTTCTGCCTTCAGAGGACAAGACTGTAGCCCTGGGGTCTACAGAACTCAAAAGATATATGGTTGTTTCCTCCAGAAGCTGGATGCTGGGTTTAGACACAAGGCTGAGCCTAATTCCTCCCCTCTCTAATGCACAGCGACTCAAAGGCACAAGTTATGGGGTGTCTCAAACCAGTCACCTCTGGTGGCTGGGCTGTTTGTCTCCATCCATGTGGGAACAGTCTCACTGCAGACAGATTGCTGTGTCCCCAAGACTGACTGACTGACTATCTATCTATCTATCTATCTATCTATCTATCTATCTATCTATCTATCTATCATCTATCCTCTCTCTCCCTCTCATCTATCATCATTTTTATGTGGCAACAATTGAAAGACTTCATTTTAAGTTTCTGGAGCACCGCTTGGGTAAACCAACACACTCAGGTCTCTGCAGCTGTTTCTGGTCTGGCCACACCACCCCCACCCCCATACCACACTGGGGGTGGCATTTGTGGATGCTGAAGCACATCCAGGATGGTTGTGCAGTTGGCAGCATGGGCTGTGTGCTGGGGAGGGCCGTGGATTTGTGTCACCAAGGCTGCAGGTGACTGAGGGTGGGTTTGATGTGACCTTTTATATACTATTTTGTGGTATCTGAATTTCTCTCTCAACTATTGTATAAAGAAAGAAAAATAATTACATTTACTTAGGAAAAAAGGAAGTCATAGGGACACTGGGGAGAGCTTAGAGGAAGTGACCCAAGACAGCAGCTTTGGAGGGGGTGAGTGTCCTGCTCCTGGAGGGCTGCATGCCACCGGGGCTGGCCAGAGTACTCCAAGGGGGTTTCTGCCTTCGGTGGACCTTAAAGTCTCTCTTTCTCACCTTCCCAGTTTCCAGGCTGCTACCAGAAACTGTCAGAAACCTGCACAGTCATCTCACTCCTGTCCTGCCTGAGGCGGGGGCCTTCTGGTTATCTTCCTTTCCCACTGGTTGTCTATGGCTTGTATGCTCCCTACCATGGAGAGCTCACCACCTCTCCCTCACCTCGTGGTTCCAGGGTCCAAAGCCCTGCTTTGTCGCCTCAGCAGTGGACAACCCCAAAGTTGATTCTGTGACTTAAAGCGGGGGGGGGGTGTCTCTTGTCACCTCCATTCCTACTCTGCAGGATCAAGATTCTAGATGTCCATGTGTCCCACCTCGACCTGAAATTCATTGCTGATTTTGGGCTACATCTGATGGCAAAAGCCAATTTTACCATCAAGGTCTTCCGGTGAGTGAGTCTCCTGGCTGTGGGAAGGAAGAGTTTCAGCGCTGTGGCAACGGCAGGGTAAGGGAGGGGGTTGGCATCTCCTCCTGCCTCTCAGCCCCACCCTGGGAAGCAGGCGAGACAGTGCAAAAATCAAGACTCCAGATCCTGCTCACTGACTGTGTAACTGGAAGAGGGTTTCACTTCTCCAGCTGTGTTCACATCTTTGTGAAGACACTTTGTAGTGAGGTGATTTATTGCTGTAATTCAGTGCACAGTATGTGCTCAATAAACACAGCTATCAGAATGCTTCCTGGGCTCCGGACAGCTGGTGCTACCACGTTTAATTTTAATTTCTGAGTTGGTATTCTAAGGGACTTCTTGTCTGACACTGTGATGTCCTGGGTGCTGTAGCCAGGCCAGAGCTTGGGTGCCTTCAGGCGGGGACCTCATGAGGAACTCAGCATAGCCCTGTGAAGCAGGTGCCACCGATTATGTCCATTGCACAGAGGAAGTTGAAGCTCAGCATGGTGGTGCTGGCTGGGGTCTGGCAGTGAGGTGTCACTGAGAGCCAGGGTTCACAGTCACCTGCAGTAACATCTGTGGCACTGAGTGGGGATGGGGGCTCTGAGTCTGTCCAGGTGGAGTTATTTCATGGTGGGTGGGGCCTCCTGTGTCAAATGGGGGTGGGCCAGTCCAAGACTGTGGGGTCTTTCATTCACTGGGGTGGGCCCTGCTGGGTGGCACTGCTGGGACTCAGTCCGTGTTCCCCACCCAGCATCCCTGAACCTCTGGAGCTGACACTGCCTGTGGCACTGACAGCAGATGCCCATGTGGCCCAGGGTCCCATCGGGACACCTATGATCAGCCTCTCCACATGCTCCCCACTCTTCAGTCCTGCCAGCGTGCTGGATGGCAGTAACAGGTGGGTGCATAGCACGGGTGCAGGGGTCTTCATGCCAAGGTTGAGGTGCTGTTTCTGAACTGAGTTTCAGCAGGAAAGGGACATACTGCAAGGACGGCCTGAGTTCTGGCCATTGACAATGCACTGTAGTCAGGAACTTGTCAGGTGGGGTTCTGGGTGGGTCGGACCAGCTCTTAGGAGCCTCAGAGGCCATGCCTCCCAGCAGAGACGGGAAGTCGGGAGCCCATGGATGGGGCCCAAGCTCTCAGGGTCAGGTGGTTGCTCACATCTACATGGGAGGCTAACAGCAGCCCCGACTTCCAGGGCACCCACTCTATGTTGAAGGGCACCACTCAAGGCCCTTTATGGGGATCAGCGTCACAGCAGACCAGCAGATGTGAGTTTTCCCTATTGGTCTTGCCTGAGGTCACAGCCAGGTTCGTGCCCGAGCAGCCTGCCGCTGATTGCCCCATACGTGTCTATCATGCCTGCATTTTCCTACACGTGGGCAGGCTCATTCCACGTGGCTGAGCACTATAGTTTTTTAAAAAATGCAATATTTGCACAAAGCCTGGAATTTGTCCCCATAGAGGGGTGAATTTAGCTGTGTCCTGAAATCAGCAGATGCACCCCACAACCCCCGGCAGTCCCTGTGGCAGGGGCTGCTTCCCATATATTGAAGGGGAAGTGGAGGCCCCAAGTCGATACTGTGAAAACACAGATGCCTGTCTCCTACCTTCTGGAGGGTGGGGGGGGGGGCTTGGGTGCTGCTGGGATCAACATCTTAGCAAACAAGTGACACAGGTTCCCATGGGCCACTTGAGAGCTGCCAACCTAGATCATCTCTTGCGGTTCAGAGGGGAACTGACGTCCACAGCTAGGAAGTGACTTTTCTATGTGGGTCACAGAGAATTGAAGCAGAAGCAGCCCTGGGATCCACCTCCATCCCTGCCCTCACTGGACTCAGAGTGGTTATGACGAGGATGTAGCTGAGTCCAGTTTTTGAAATGTCCTCTGTCTCTCCTGAGCCTGGTTTCAGTTGTTACATTTTTGACATTGCCAAACTTTGAGACAAATGACTCTTTTCTGTGAGACTCAGTTTCCATCTCTGCAGGCCTGGGAATAGTTATTGCAGCACCATCTGGCACACGGTGGGACCCCGGGTGGGAGTCGTAGGTTTCTGGCTGAGGAGAAAGGCTCCTGCCCCAGCCTCGCAGCCTTGCTGAGGAACAGGCTGCAGGACTGAGGGCCCTTCGTGCATCTCCTCTTTAGCACCTCCGCCATGCTGCTGGTCCTGGTGCAGAAGCACATTAAAGCCATCCTGAGCAACAAGGTAAAGAGCTCCCAGCTGATGCCCTGGAGGGGGTCACTGCTGCCCCCAGGAGGTGTGGGAATAAAATGGTGGAGTTTTGGTCATGGGAGGGCATCCTTTAGGATTTTCTGTGCGTGTGCAGTGCCAGGGCTCCAACCCAAGGCCTCGTGCATGCCAAGCATGTGCTCTGCCATTGTAAGAAACATCTACCCTGGGACTTTTTAAAAAACGGAAATAAAACAGAGGAGCCTTCTTAAAGGGGTGCTCCAATCTCCCCATGAGGGCAGGGAGGAGACTGATGCCATGGTCAAGAGAGGGCTGGAGAAGCCCTATGGGCAAAGGGGAGTGAGCTTTGGCCTCTGGGGCAGACCCTAGGTTCTATTTATAGGGTGGGGCAGTATTTTTAGGGGAGGTGGGCAGGAGTGGCAAGGGCATGGCACTGGGACCAGATGTGGCTGGGTTTGATCTTCTCCTCCTACCTAGCTGCGTGCTGTGACTGCCTTTGATCTGACATCACCAATGAGTAGAAATCTGGGCCCATCCATAGGCTGCCAGGGCTCAGAGTTGGACCCTAATATCCAAGAGGAGTTTAGGTCAATATCCTGAAGAGCATGCATTGCTGAGATTATTGCAATTTTAGTTCCTGTTGTTATCTGCATGTGGCTGACCCGGTGAGCGATGCTGTCCTCCAGCCAGGGCCCTACCACCCAAGGAGAGCTGGTCTTCCCTCCTTGTCTTGTGCCATCCTTCCCCATCTCCCTGGAAGGCGCAGTAGTGGAGACAAAACCAGCCCACTGTATGCCGTCCCCACCTTCTGAGGTGGGGGATCTGAGACTGGATCGATGTGGGTGGCAGCTCGTCCTGGAGCGCTGCAGGCTGTGCTTGGCTTTGCCCATTGCCGTAGCCTCTCCCTGTGCTCTCCCGCTGCCCTTGCAGCCTCTCAGGGCAAGCGGTGCAGGCAGGAAGGAAAGGTCCTGTCCTTTCCCTCCTTGGCCTTGCCTGACCCAGGCTGTGAGTGTTTCCCTCACTATCTCTTGTGTGTCCCTATCTTCTGTCATACTGGGCTGAGCTCAGGATGCCCTCTGGCTTCTCTCTGTGCCCAGAGAATCTCCATTACCCTGGCTGGCACACATGACCTGGATGACATGGCTCACTGGTCACTACCTGCCACCCTGGACCCCACCCTCAAAGCATGAGGTCCTTGCCTCAGTTGTTGAGTCTGACAGTGGTGATTCTGACATTTCCTCCAGGCCTGTGGGCCTGCAGTGTCCTCACCAGCTTTGGGCTCAGAGGAGGTGCTTAGAAAGGCTCTTTTGGTGGAGAAAGAAGTAGGTTTGGAGTGCCGGCCAGGGGACTCTCCTGCAAGGACCCTGGGTCCCGGCAGCCTCCCTCAGCCAGCTCTGAGCCCTGAGCTCAGCCTGCTCTCTGTCCCACACAGGTATGCCTGCGCATCTCCAACTTGGTGCAGGGCCTCAACGTCCACCTGGGAACCTTGATTGGTAAGATCCAGAGCAGAGGGGAGTGCTGGGGTACCCCCCCAAGGCCTTTCAGAAACCCCTTCTTTGTCAGGGTTGACCTCTGGGAGGTCAATTGTAAGGTACCTACATTGTGGGCTCTCCAGGCTGCACAGTTATTCATAGAATCTAGAAACCTCCAAATTCTAGAACCAAGTCTTTGATTCTAGAATCTTCATATTTAAGTCAAATCATCTGAAACCTCAAATACTATCAAGTATTTAAATAATGAATCTTAATATTTGAGAATCTTAGCACCATCAAATGGTAGAATCTGGAATCATTCACTTTTGGAATTGAAGGATTTAAGAAGCCAGATTCTCATAGTTGGAAGGGCTTGTAGTCTTAATGGTATGCTTGGAAGTCTTTCTGCTCCCTTTACCCCTCAGGGAGGCAGGGTGTGTGACAGCACATTTGTCACTAGAGGTGGCCTGGCTCATGCTTAGGGTCTGGGGCTCATGCCTGGGATGTCATGTGGGGGTCTTGTATAAGGCTGCTCCTTCTTTGACTGGATGATTATATGTTTATTTTGAGGCTGTGTTAGAAAAGATACAAAACCACCCAGTCTATGTGGGGATTTTGTGACTATTAGTGCTGATTTCTAATTCCCCACAGTGATAAAAAGTTTTCTTTTGCAATTAATTTGGGAAAGAAGGAATAGATTTAGGCAAAACCATTAATTCAGTATAGAAGAAGTGCTATACTGAGTCTGAGCCACGCTTGCCCTCGAGCATCAACTGGCTGGCTTCCTGGCAGTGTGACTCAGGTTCTGTCATGCAACCTTTGTGGTTGTTTCCTCCTTTGTAAAATGAGGATGCAATAGAACCTCCTGCCAAGACGACTGTGAGGATGAAACATGAAAGTCGGTCTCGGATGTTTTGCGCAGCTCTGGGCCCAGGGAGCAGCTGTGTGCATTTGATTAAGTGCTGGACTGTGGGTAGAAAGGAAAAAAAGATGCCAGATGTGGTTCTTTAAGCAATTCCTGGAGGGCACATGAGCAACCCACTCTGGGTGCCAGGACACGGTTGGTCGTGCACAGATTAAAGGTGGTGGGCAGAAAGGGTGAGCCAGGAGTCCCAGGAGGGCAGTGTGTGACCACCGTGTGCAGCCTCAAGGTCCAGCCTGCAGGACATGTTTGAAGGAAGAATCCATTCATGGGGACAGGCAGCACTGGGTTTTGCTGAATCCCATATGCATGTGTGTGCACGTGCTTGTGTGTGTGTGTGTGTGTGTGTACGTGTGCGTGTGCGTGTGTGTCTGCATGCCTGGTGAAGTGCCCATGAGAAATACCAGCTAACATTATAGCATGACCAGCCCTATTTAACAGACTATTGAGAGCAGCCTGCCCTGAGAACTTGTGCTCTTCACTAGACTCTAAAACCACGTGCTTAAGAAAAAGAGGACAGAAAACTGTAGCTCTACTCCTGTGAGAGACAGACAGGGATGAAGAGGAGGAGGGAGAGGGGGAAGGGACAAGGGATTAGGGAGAGGGAGAAGTTTGCCTCTGCATAAGAATATATTTAACCCGAAATACATTTGAGATTCTGGGCTGTTTTCCATTTTAAAAATATTTTCTAAGTGTTCATTATGAATATGTATTACTATTATTTTAAATTTAAATTTCTTTTCATTTTTTAACTTGGAGCAATTTACCCCTGCAGTGCACAGTTCTTTGAATTTTGGTGAACAGAGTCCCATAAATCCCCCTGTTCAAGATCCAGATCCTCCCAATCAGACCGTAAATCCTTCAGGCTGCCCCCACCTCCTGCCCCAACTGCTGACTTGTAGAAAGAGAATTACGCTGTTTTGCTTTTATAATCATAAAAATTCTAAAATGTTAAGAGAAAGTAAAATTAAATTCATATGAGATAATGGAAAAACAAATCTGAATAGAGCTAGATATGTTTATGTATTTGTAAATATTTACTTATATATTTTATATGCTTACAAAGTATTAAATATATTTATTTGTATATAAATAAAATCAACCATATGAAACTATATAAACTACATAAAATACACATATGGTAGATATTTAATAACAGATATAAAATGCGTACCAAATATACATGCACACATGTGCACACACAATCTCAGTCACATAGAGCCAGGGGTTGGAGCTGGGGCTGACCTGGGCTCTCCCACTGGACACTGGGGCTTCACCTCATCCGGCCACGCCTTCAGCCATATCCAGGGAAGAGGTTTCCACAGAGGCTCAGCTCTGCCTTTCCTGGTACATGACTTGAGTATTCTCAGCTCAGAGGCCATACTTTGGAGTCAGACTGATTGGGTTCACAGTCCTAGACAAGACTGAGCCTCACATCAAACTCCGTGTGTGTGTGTGTGTGTGTGTGTGTGTGTGTGTGTGTGAAAGAGCTGCACTGAGTTGTGGTGACTGAGAGAGACAGTAAGTCACGTGTCAGGACCTGATCAGCACAAGAGCTTTTCTTTCTCTGTGCTTCCTTTTTGCCTCTCTCAGGCGGTGCTTCTGCCTGGATTAGCCTTCTTCTGATTTGGGCTCTCGAGCCTTCCACTGACGGGGAAGGCAGAACACAAGCTCGTTAGACTTGTGTTTGAACTTAGAGTCACCAGGCTGCACCCCACAGCTGAATCTTGGATGTGTGCACCTTGACACGTCGGTGTGCTCCCTCGGGAGCCCTGCCTACCTCTGGCTACTCCAGACAGTCAGATAATTTAGCTTTCTGGACAGACAAGGTGCTGGGGTACTGCTAAGTATGCCATTTTTCTTCTCCGTGCTGGTTTTACTAAGGCCTTAGCCCGGTGGGTCCTGAATCCCAGATTCGCTACTCCATGGTCAGCAAGCCCATCGTCACTGATGACTACATTGCTCTGGATGTCAATGTAAGCACTTCCTTGTGGCCTAGAATTGGGGGCTGTGGGCCTCTGGGTCCATGATGTCCCAGAAGATTCCTACAGGAGCAGAGAAGTTGAGGAGCTGCATTCCAGGGGGGGTGTGGCACACAGGCAAGGGCATGGGGCCACATAGCGTGTGACATTTTTTTGGCAGGGGGTGGCAGGTTCGGTCATGGGCCACCGCTTCTTGAGATCGTGTCCTCCCCATAGGCTGTCTTCTTCCTGCTGGGCAAGCCCATCATCCCACCCCTGGCAGCTACCTCCTTCGAGTTACCCTTGTCTGTGGACACCACAGGTGCCATGGTATCTGTGGGCCTCTCCCAGCAACTGTTCAACTATGTTCTGCTGCTGCTGCAGAAGGCGGGCACCCTCAACCTGGATATCACAGGGGACTTGGTGAGGCTGGCCTGCTGCCCAGGAGGTGTGGGGCAGGAGCACCCTGTGGCCTAGCCCTGGACCCCCCACAGATGCCAGCCAAATCATGACAGATGGGGCAGCTAGAGTGTGGTGCCATGGGGTGAAGCAGGGTCTGGGGGGTAGGATTCCTGGAAGTGAGGGGAAGTGGTGGCCTGGCAGGTGAACGGGTGGCTGCTAACCTGACGTGGTGGGGGTTGATTTCAGAGTTCTGACGACAATCCACTGAATACGTCTGTACTGGGCCAGTTCATCCCTGAGGTTGGTGACACAGCTGGCTGTTCCAGCTGTTGAGATACAGGATTGGGGTCTCTGGGCTGTGTATGTCATATCTGTCCTATGTGGGATTTAGCATTTGTGCTTAGATCTGCTGCTCCCTGCATTCTAGGGCCAGCCTCTCCCTCTGCACAGACCTCAGGCTGTTTCTCCACTCTGCCCCTGCCCAGCTCTCTGTTTGTAGTCCTTTCTCCTTCTGTCCCTACTGCCCTTAAGACCTGGCTCAGGGAGCTCCTCCTGGAGGATGGGTAGCCCTCTTCTCTGCTCCAGTGGCCTGGGTTGGATCCACCTCTGTGCATAGTCATGTGCAGCACTGTGGTGTCTAGAAGCACTGAAGAGTGACTGGATACACAGCCTGTGTGTCCTTGTGCAGCGGGCCCAGCACAGCCTTCTCTCTCCTTTTCTCTCCGCCTCCACAGGTGGCCCAGCAGTTTCCCAACCCCATGTCCGTGGTGCTCAAGGTTCAGCTGGGTGCCACACCTGTGGTCATGTTCCATACCCACAACGCCACAATGAGCCTACAGCTGTTTGTGGAAGTCCTGGCTGTGTCCTCTAACTCGGATTTCCAGTCCCTTTTCTCCCTGGAGGTGGTGAGCAAGGGGTCTTGGTGGGACTGGCTAAGAGGCAGTTGGCCCTCAGAGGAGAATGCATGTCCTCTCCTACATGTTGGTCTCCCACACTGATCTCCTTGTGTTTTGACCTGGGCTGGACATTCTGGTCTCAGGATCTTTGCCCATATCTAGCCCTTTGCCTTGGGCTCTTTTTTCCCTGGCTTTGGCATGGCCGGCTCCTTCTCCTTGCTCAGTTCTCAGCTTAAATGTAGCCTTCCTCTGAGAAGCCTTCCTGTCTACCCCCTCCCAGTGGGTGAGAATGTCCTCCTCCACCTTCTCCACGACATTCTGCCTTCATGGCTCCCCCACTCTCTGAAAGGCTTCTGCTGGTTGCTTGGGTTAGTGCCTGTTGGATGGTGGTGGGTTTGGAGGGCAGGGACCTTGTCTGCATTATTCACACCATGTTGAGCCTGGCATCTTGCAAGCATTCCCCAAACACCTGTGCCTGCATGAGGGAAGGCAGGAGCCCTCTGATCCTGTACTTCTCATGTTTCCAGGCAGTGAACCTGAGCCTGCAGCTCTCAGTGTCCAAGGTGAAGCTCCAGGGTACCACATCAATGCTGGGGTAAGCCAGGATCCAGGAGTCTCAGTCTGTTCTCTGTGCAAAGACCCTTTCCTGGTCACTGGGTGCAGCTGGCAGTTTCGTATAGCAGCATGAGGCCCCTACTCTGTCTCTTTCAGGGACATCAGGCTCGCAGTGGCTGCCTCTAATGTGGGCTTCATTGATGTGAGTGAGGCTGCGTCTCCAGGTCCCTGGTGGTTGGGTGCATGAGGGGGCAGTACAGATGCCCCATAGTCAGGCTTCTCAGTGCTAGGCTCAGTCAGCAGGCCTTTCTTTCTTGCTATCCACTTGTCACAGCCTTCCTGCCCATGCACTGTTTGGTGGTCCATGACTTGGCAGCCCAACCCCTCAACCCGACTCCACTGGCCAATGGGACAAGTTAGATAGTATGGGCTGACCCTTCAGTCACATCACAGAGTTAGGTCCTCACCTACCATACATCCACTTATAGATTGGTCTATTGGGCAATATGCCAAAGCCCTCTACCTGTCAGTTGGTTGATCATTTGATGTCAATGGCTATGCTAATCAGTCTACCTGTTGGTCACACACTGTCCATCAGCTTTGGTCATATGGTGTGTCAGTCAATCAGGACTCACCTCTCAGGCTCCCCTTGGGCATGCATTGTCCCCCAAAGCTGACCTGGGTTGCAGTGCAGCTGGGCTCCACTTTAACCCAAGATGGGAATGAACTGCCCACACCCTCTGCCTGGGCCTCTGCTGCCCATATGTCCATCTGTCTGTGTGTGCATAACTGTTCGTCTCTTTCACTCGTTGGCTGGCTGGGTCTGTGGTCAAAGGTGAAGCATGTACACACTCTTGTGGGCAGCCTGTTACAGAAGCCACTGCTGGATCACCTCAATGGTGAGTGCTATTCCCTCAGCCAGGCCTTCTGCTCCCTCTTGACCCCCACTCTCTCCATGCTGCCTCTGCCGCTGCTCATCTCCCAGGTTCTGAGGTTAATAGTGGCCTAGGAGTCCAACTGACCATGTGGGCATATGGCACAGAGCTGTGTGATCTTCACTAAGTTCCTTTCCCTTTCTAAGCCTCAGTTTTCCTTCCTTATAACGGGCACTGTAACAATGGCACCTATCTTTTGGATTCATGAAGCCCATGAAGACTCAGCACAGGACTGGCTCCAGTGGATGGTTTGCTCCCATTTCCCACTGAACTTGACTTCTCTGTCCTCACCTGCAGCTCTCCTAGGCATGGGAATCGCTCTCCCCAGCGTGGTTAACCTCTACTACAACAGCCCTGAGGTCTTTGTGTATGAGGTGAGAGCCTTCAGAGGGGCCAGCAGGATAAACAAAGCAGGGGTCACCTTTAGTGCAAACAGTGGGGTGTTGGGGTCATCCAGGCCTGGGGGTTCACCCTGCACTGTTGCAATGTGATGGAAGATTCAGGACACTGGAAGACCCAATAGGGCAACGTTTTCCCTCCTCTGGTCCTCATGAAATATTGCATCAGGGCCCTTCCATGATTCTGGACCCTGGCATGGTCCCTTTGGTGTCTGGAGTGGATCAGAGAGAGGCTCCTTCTGGCCTTGTAAGCAATCTCTTGTGGACTGCATGGGTGAAAGGCGTTTTCTGAACCTTCTAAAATACTGTCCCTGTATTTGAACTTGTGAGTCAGGGTGAAATTCAACCACAAGGCAGCCCAGGGTGAGACACTACAGCTTCTTTCTGTCTCACCCAGGAATAAAAGGCAATTCTCTCAGAAGGCCTGTGCAGGACAGATGTCACATGTCTTCTCTGGGAGGAGGTCCTTATTCCTTAAGAACTGTGGTTCCCAAAGCCTCAGGTGACACTCACCCATAAGAAGGAGCCCTTAACACACAGAGGATCAGGCCAATTAGTGGGACTTACCCTAAGACTCCCCTTTGTGGTTGATACCTGCTGGCACTCACAAATCCAACAACAGAGTCAGAAGCCACAGGTCCTTTGACCAGGGTTGTCTGACAGTGTTCTGCAGTGATGAAAATTTGCCTTGTCTACAGGTATGTGTGGCCACTGAGTACCTGGAGCATGGCCCATGTGACCGAGGGCTGCATTTTCTGTTTTGAATTTTAATTAATTTCTACACCACACATGGCTAATGATCACCTCAATGTACCATGAAGCCCCAGACCCTGAGCTACCTGTGGGCAGGGACAGGGTCGAGATCTAGCTTGTTCTTCAATGAGGTCCTGGCATTTGTCATGGGGCTTAGTGTGTAGCTGAGGCTCTGTGAAGTCTCATCAAATGAATGAATGTTTCTTCAGAGAAGTCTAAAAAATAGGGATGCATGGTAGCTGGGCTGTGCAGGGAACTTGCACCTGGGGAAGATGCCCTGTGGTTCTGGACTCCTGGTCCTATGACATTGATGACACTGACTATGCATGGAGTCCCTGCTGAGTGCCCTTTCCAAAGGCTCTCTCTACATCCTCTCTACAGTCTCTCAAGGTGGCTGCCTTGAGAGGCTATACAGGGGTGGCTAAACCTCCTACCATAGTGATGAAGTAGGAAACTGAGGCCTAGAGAGAACAGAGAATGAACTCAGAGCCAGGCCAGGGACAGCTGAGCTCCTCCTGTCCTCAGAGACCTCTGACCTGGTTTTCCCTCTTCAGGGATATGTTGTGATATCTAGTGGACTCGTCTACCAGCGCTGATGCACGGCCACTGGGAGAGCTGAGGGAGAGCCGGCCTTGCTGCTCAGGAGCCTTGTGCATTCAAGCCACTGGGGAAACTGAGGCATCACGGCCAACAAACCGGCTGGGCTGTCTCATCTTCACTGAGTACCTGGATCCCTCTCATACACTTTCTCCTCGTCTTTTCTTCCTTATCTTCTCCTCCTTCTCCCTTATCCTCTCTGCTCCATCAACCCCTCCTGAGGGAAAAGCTTGCTCCCCCAAGTTATCCAAGCCTCTCTCATCTTGCATTAAACATCTCTTGAGCTGAAAGTTCCAGCAAAACCTAGCAGACTCTTTGTGTACCTGAAGCCAGTTCTCCATGCACACTCCTTTTTTTTTAATTTTAAAGGGGGTAACATTAAACATAACAAAACAGAACAAAACAGATCATAAGGAAACAATTTTAAGAAACACAGATTTCAAAGCAAGTCCACTGGAGAGCTTCACTGCCTATCTTATTGTCTCTTGTTTTCTTCCAAATAGTTGTCCCCATCTTCACACACACTAAATACATACTGAACATTATAGAACTAATCTAATCAGAGCAGGATGATGAAGGCTTTTTAGGTCTTCAAGACCTGACATTGGGGAAGTCAACAATGGCTGACATAATGTCTCTCATTCTCTTCGAAGTAGCAGTAGCTGTTCATATCTTTACGTATGCTGAAATTAAACTAGACCAATATCACTCTGAACAGTGAATAATAGTATTGCTAGATTTTATATCGTAATGCTACAGAATTAGCACTGGGTATCTTAGTGCTCTTCTTCTTCTTCAAAGTATCTATTCATTACATCGTGCATTATATAATATGTTCCCATAAACTGTTTAGAAATTCTCCACATGTGTGAATCTCTACATGTATATCTGCCTTTTCTGTATTATAGGGAAAAACAGATCAAAACAAGACAACAAAACAAATTCCTAGAAAAACATGAAATGAAAAAGACATATAAAACTACAATACTAGGTGATCTACAGTAGTTACTATGCTTTCTCTTGTTATTTTCAATAGAATTGTCTACATCATCAGACATAATATAATAGCATTACATAGCTATTTTAATAAAAACAGCATTGGAGACATTGTAGGGCTTCAAAAGCAGTTAATAAACTGGAATGGATATCTTTTACATCTTGTCATCTTCAGAGTAGTTGCCTCTACTCTTAGACTTGATACTATGAAGCCTACCAAATTCAAATAAAAACAGTCAAGGCAAAACAGCGGTCTAACAAACCAGCTTCAAATAAGATCAGTCATAGTAAGACAATGCAGGTAATACAGGGTTTCAGTTTAAGTTAATAGGAAATTAAGGATAGTTACCGTGGTATAACCTGATATTTTTGGGATAGCTGTCTGTGCCCTCAAATCAAATGAGTAGACAGACTGGAGCAAAATATAATCAAACTAAACAGAGTGATAAGACTACTGTGACTTTTAAATCCTGATACACTATTAACAATGTCCTCTGCCTTCCTTTTTTAGGCAGTTTCTCACCTTTCCCCTTCTCAGGATGCTTTGTATATTTTGGGTCCCACTACCTCCTTTAGTTTTTAGATTAAGGGGTCAACCCATTATCTATCTGAGTGTGGCTGAAGCTTTTTACCCCTGAGCTTGATCTTGAGCTGTACTCCTTTACTTACTAAAGCCACAAGTTTTTCCTTCCTTCTAGCTGTGTAGTTCTACACTGCCCAAAAGTGTCATAGCTTTCCAATCTATCTGTGGCTGCAGGATGAGCTGTCCCTATTTCTCTCTGGTTTCCTGTCACATATAGCATTGTTTTCTCATCTTTGACTCTCAGTTTATTAACCCTCTTTCAGATTGAGTATATTTCCTATTCAGAGCATCTCAATGGATCCTGCCTCCTAATCTACTCTGCCTGTATTTCTTTTTGTTAGTGGATCAAGGCTATCTATATTAAAGATTATAGCCTACCTTCTCTGCTTCATCTCTGCTATGCTATTTTTCATCTACTTTTCTCCTTCATTCCACTGTCTGCCCCATTCATTGAGACCTCTCTGTCACTGTTGCTGGAATCCTGGTATTTTTTCTCTCTCTCTGGAATGTCCTTTAGTATTTTTTGTAGGGTTAGATTGGTGACCATGAACTCCTATAGTTCCTCCTTGTCTTGGGAATATCTTATTTCTCCATTAATTTTGAGGGAGAGTTTTTCATGGTACACCAATCTGGGTTGGAGCTTATTTTCTTTCAGGGCTTGGAGTATTTCCCCCCAGACTCTTCCTGATTTGATAGTTTGTGTTGATAAGTCTGTCATTATTTTAATGGTTTTTCCTTTGTAGGTGATCTGCTTCTTTTCTCTGACTGCTTTTAAATCCTGTTCTTGTGTTGGATTTCTAGGATCTTGATTATTATATGTCTGGGTGTAGATCTGTTTTGGTTGTAGGTGGCTGTAGTTCTGTATGCCTCATTTCTGGATATCATTTCTTTTTCCTATGCTTGGGAAGTTTGCTTTAATTATTTCTGTGAATAGTCTTTGTAATTCAGTTGTGGTTACTCCTGCTTCTTCGCTCATGTTTTTCTTTTTTTTTTTTTATCAGTATGGGGGATCGAACTCATGACCACGTGCTTGCAAGGCAGGCGCTTATGCTGCTGAGCTAAATTCCCAGCCCCATGTTTTTTATTTTTAAGTTATAGACGCTCTTGTCATCTTCTAGCCTTTGAATTGTTACTTCCTGGTTCCTTGTTATTTTTAAGAGATCTTTTCTTTTATGGTCACACATTATAAATCTCTCTTCAAGTTTTGAAAGGCTAACTTTAGTTTTTGTCAAGGCATTTTGCCAGCTTTCAATGGAGTTTTTAGTTTCCTGGTAATCTCTTTGTATTTGTTTCATGTATTCTAGGTTTTATTTATATTCTTCACCAAAAGTTTCTCTTCCTTTTCTGGGTTCCTCCATTCTTCCATCTGTGTTTTCTTGGGAGGGGCTTAGCATTTCTTTAGTTAATTTTTTTATATCTTGCCTCACTTGGATTAGAATTTCAGTTTTAAGTTCATCTATGACCTCATGAAGGTATTTCTTTTTGTCCACTGATGTTGTGGCTAATTTTGCATGATTGCTGCATGATTGCTGCATGGTTCTCTTCTGTATTTACCTCTCCTGGGCTTATTTTCCCAGGGTCAGCAGCTGGAGTTTTTTTTTTAAATTTCTATCTCTTGTCATGTTTCTAGTTTCTTTCAGACAGGTGTGTTGTGGAGGTCCCTGGCCCTCTCTGTATTACTTACAGTTTTTCTGAAGCATGCTGGCTGGGGTTTTGCTGCCCTCTCCAATTTGCTGTTATCTGAGGTGCACGCAGGGACAATGCAGGCTAGCCTCTAGCCTCTGAACCAGTCAACCTGCAAGTGCCTTCAGCAACTTAGCCTGTGCTTTGCAGATGTCACAGGGTTGGGACAGTTTTGTCCCTGGTTATTGGGTGCCAACCAGGGGCGTGCCTCAGCTCAAGCCTATCCTCCTAGTCCTCTCTGGGCCAGGGGCAGCTGACTGAAGCCACTGTGACACTGGACTCTGCTCCATTCCGAGATGTCTTCCTGCTGGCCACACCCACTGCAAGACCCAATTTCCAGCACTCACCAAGAATTAATGCAGCTCTCCACCTTGGCTCCACTCCACACTGTGCTGCATCCTCCCACTAAGGGCCCAGGACTCACCAACTTCTGATACCAGCGGCCGCGGCTTCAGTGTGACCTTGGATTGTGCGACTCGATGGTGCGCCCAGCACAGCGCGGGACTGGTCTCAATGAGTGTGTCCAGCTCCAACCCTCCACCTGCGTTTTCCCTTGCTCTTCCTGTTATTCTTTTTCCTTCAGTTTCCTCCTGGATCATGAGAATCCCTTTCCCATTGTCTGGCTCTCTCCATGTTGTCAAATTCCAGCATCTGAGCTATTTTTCCCAGAGAGGCTCTCTACCCAGTTACCTGTCAGGCAGCCATCTTCTTCAGTCTCTCTCCATGTGCAATCTTATGTCCTCCTTATCCCGGGGAGAGCGGGAAGATGAGTGCATATCTTCCTTATTCACACCCATTGCCTCTACCACCTTTGTGTCCAGGGAACTTATCTTTGAAAGATCACCCTGGAGAGCAGCAGGGATGAGCTGATGGTAGTGGGCACTGTGCTGTTCTTTGGGTGCAGCGTCCTCTGCCAGGTGCCATGTCCCCTCTTGTAAGGCCCTTGTGAGTCAGGCAGGTGAGATCTGGGGTTCCATTCTGTAAATGCAGGAACTAAGGCCCAGTGAAGACAGGAAGGCACTGAGTCCTGGGGCTGAAGGGCAGCTGGTCCACAAGTCTGTGACCATCCTAGAATTCAGATGTGAGATGGCCAGTTCCTTTCCATTCACCAGCATCCTTACTTGGACTTGGTCCTTGAGTCACAGATGTCAGGTGATGAGGAGCAGCCAGCCCATCCCGGCAACATCTCCGTCTTTGGTTTTTCTCTGGTGATGAGCATGGGTTTTCTGCTGCTGCCTGGGTCTCTGATCTTACCGCTCATGTCTAACTCCTGACCCCTGAGACCCAGTGGGTCACTCACAACAAGTTGGCTTAGGGAAAAACAAGGAATGTGAGTACAAGCAAGCCAGAGATTGTGATTTTCACCCCTGAAGAGCTAATCTCTCAGCCGGGGGTAGGCTTCCTTCCTACCTAAATATGTGGGTCCATTTTCTTTTCTTGATTCCTTGCTGGAGTAGAAGATGCCTCAATGGCCACCATAGTAAAGAAAGTACATGGCCCAGCATAGAACTTGCTGCTTTCTCTCTAAAGTGTCACAGGTTCATTACTAAAGTTGCTAGTGTGGCAAGCCCAGGGAGCTGGACTCAGTCCAGCACATTGATGATGGGAGGAGATGGGAGCGTTGCTGAGAAAGTGAAGGAGCTAAATATAAAACTCATCCTCATAGTCAGACATGGTGGCTCACCACTCTAGGAGGTTGAGGCAGGAGGGTTGAAAGTTCAAGCCCAGCTTGGGCAGCATATGACTTAATGAGAACCTGTCTTGAAAAGTAAAAATAAAAATAAAAATGAGTTAAAAGGACTGGGGATGTAGTTTAGTAAAGGACCTTGAGGTCAGTCCTCATTACTGAAAAAATTTACCCTCATGATCTTGCTCAGGAAAGTGTGGCTTTTATTTCCTTCCTTTGGCTGCTTAGTTAATTCCTTGATATTACTTTTATTAGGACTTACTACAAGATCAGTCCTAAACTATATAGTCTAGTATACAGGAGAGACAAAATATCTAAGACACACCCCAGCCCATAAAGGGAAGTCAATAAAT